CGTGTTCCGCTGGAGCTATAAAACCATCTTTCGTGTGTTCACGTAGCCTCTCCCGCTAGAATCCCGGCGACAACCGCCATTGATTTCCGTTCGGTTATTCGTGATTCTGTTCCTTGCGACTCCTTCATCGTTCGTGTGTTGTTCCTTGCAACTCCCTTGTTCGTGTGTTGTTCCTTGCAACTCCCTTGTTCGTGTGTTGTTCCTTGCAACTCCCTTGTTCGTTTGTTTTGTTCTTGTAACTCCCTTGTTCGTGTTGTTCTGTGCAACTCCCTTGTTCGTTTGTTTTGTTCTTGTAACGCCCTTGTTCATGTATTGTTTCTTGCAACTCACTTGTTCGTATGCTTTGTTTCTTGCGGAACTCTGGCGACGTGTTTTGCGGCGGTTTCAGGCGTCATGCTCAACAAATTTGGATTTTTTTTCACACGCGTATTTACTGCGTTACTACGGTACTTCGAAGTAGTGTATGCTGTTATATGTAATGTATAAAAGTGTATACTGTTTTATGTAATGCATAACAGTGTATACTAAAATGTGCAATGTATTACATTGTATGCTGTTATATGTAATGTATAACAGTGTGTACTGTTTTATGTAATGTATAACACTGTACACTGTTGGACAGCTTATCCTTTTTTTTTATTCTAAAATGGCAACTATTTAGTTTTTATGTTATTTATGCGATTATTCCTTGAGATATACAGTTAAGAGTAAATATCGTTTGTGTAAAAATATTTCTGTTAGTCATTGGACGTTCGTGGGAACTATACTTTGCTTTCGAGTTGTAAATGATCTTTAATCGGTGACAAGCATTATTATTATTATTATTATTATTATATAGACGTTAATTGCTGTGTTGTGAATGTCTGGGAGCCGTGTACTGAATGAAAATGTCGGGGAATGGCAATAAATTAAATGCATTGCACATGAAAAAAAACGTAAACCTTTGTGACTTTTATTTACAACTTTGAATTATTTACACCGCACACACATAATTAATGCACATCATGCGGTTAATCACCTGTAATTGCATGTTGGCATAAATCAGAGCAAAGGGGAAGTCGATTGCATGAAGCCGTTTTGCCATCTAAATATTTTCAGCCTAGCTTTCTAAATATTTTCCATCTCGAAATTGTCTCCTGCTTTGATTAGGACAGCTTGGGGGGTAGCGGATATCGCTCCACGTCGGCCATATATACAAGGCTGCCTCAGTCCAAGAAGAAGATATTGTTGAAATGTGATGCGCAGAGTTTCTTAACCTCTTCTGCAAAAGAAACGAAAAACGATACAAATATAAAACTGACTCGCTCTCGATTTTCCACAGGCATTGCACGAGACAAATAAATGGTACTAAAACGTTTTTACCGATCCGACGCATGGTATCGGATCGCGAAAAATATCTGTACAAAACTGATTTGGTTCTGATGTTGAACGTGCTAAACGGCTAAACAGCTAACGGCTCCGAACCATTGAGGTCGGACAACTATTTATAAATAGTTGTCCGACCTCAATGGTTTGCATCGAGTAATTGCAAAAACAGGGCCAATGTAGAAACGACGATATTGTGGTTAGTGTGCCGGCTACTGTAGCACCACGTACCGCGTCACAGCGCCACCTACCGCGTCACAGCGCCACCTACCATGTTACAGTGCCACCTACCGTGTAACGGCGCCACCTACCACGTTACAGCGCCACCTACCATGTTACAGCGCCACCTACCACGTCACAGCGCCACCTACCATGTTACAGTGCCACCTACCGTGTAACGGCGCCACCTACCACGTTACAGCGCCGCCTACCATGTTACAGCGCCACCTACCACGTCACAGCGCCACCTACCATGTTACAGTGCCACCTACCGTGTAACGGCGCCACCTACCATGTTACAGCGCCACCTACCATGTTACAGCGCCACCTACCACGTTACAGCGCCACCTACCACGTTACAGCGCCACCTACCACGTTACAGCGCCACCTACCATGTTACAGTGCCACCTACCGTGTAACGGCGCCACCTACCACGTTACAGCGCCACCTACCATGTTACAGCGCCACCTACCACGTCACAGCGCCACCTACCATGTTACAGTGCCACCTACCGTGTAACGGCGCCACCTACCACGTTACAGCGCCACCTACCATGTTACAGCGCCACCTACCACGTCACAGCGCCACCTACCATGTTACAGCGCCACGTACCGCGTCACAGCGCCACCTACCGCGTTACAGCGCCCCCTACCATGTTACAGCGCCACCTACCACGTCACGGCGCCACCTACCATGTTACAGTGCCACCTACCGTGTTACAGCGCCACCTACCGTGTTACAGCGCCACCTACCATGTTACAGCGCCACCTACCGCGCTACAGCGCCACCTACCATGTTACAGTGCCACCTACCACGTTACAGCACCACATACCACGTTACAGCGCCACCTACCATGTTACAGCGCCACCTACCACGTTACAGCGCCACCTACCACGTTACAGCACCACCTACCACGTTACAGCGCCACCTACCACGTTACAGCACCACCTACCACGTTACAGCGCCACCTA